GAGACACGCTGAAGGACAATCTTTGTCCTGATAACTCATCAAACTGGTGTTTTGTCTCTTTGTACCTGTCATTTTTGTCCTGTTGTGTCCTGCGTTGCCTTGGTTAGCTCAGATGTCTGTCAGTCGATGGAGTCAGCTCAGACAGAATGAAGTAATAGTTCTCTGACGGAGACAAGAAGCCATCAGTCTCTGGACCTTTGGAGTAGCTGGACAGGAGGTTGGATGTTTGAGCAGTTTGCTACATCTAGAGATGTTGAGAATAAATTAGACAAAAAGGACAGCAGGCATTACATTGTTCTCCTCAGAGCTGTAATTTGTTCTCTTCAGAGCTGTATATTGTTCTTGTCAGATCTGTAGATTGTTTTCTTCAGATCTGGAGATTGTTTTCTTCAGATCTGTAGATTGTTCTCTTCAGATCTGTAGATTGTTCTCTTCAGATCTGTAGATTGTTCTCTTCAGAGCTGTAGATTGTTCTCTTCAGAGCTGTATATTGTTCTTGTCAGATCTGTAGATTGTTCTCTTCAGAGCTGTATATTGTTCTTGTCAGATCTGTAGATTTTCTTCAGAGCTGTAGATTGTTTTCTTCATATCCGTAGATTGTTCTCTTCAGGTCCGTAGATTGTTCTCTTCAGATCCGTAGATTGTTCTCTTCAGGTCCGTAGATTGTTCTCTTCAGATCCGTAGATTGTTCTCTTCAGGTCCGTAGATTGTTCTTGTCAGATCTGTAGATTGTTTTCTTCAGATCTGTAGATTGTTTTCTTCAGAGCTGTAGTTTGTTCTCATCAGATCTGTAGTTTGTTCTTTTCACATCTGTAGATTGTTCTTTTCAGATCTGTAGATTGTTCTTTTCAGATCTGTAGATTTTCTTCAGATCTGTAGATTGTTTTCTTCATATCTGTAGATTGTTCTTTTCAGATCTGTAGATTGTTCTTTTCAGATCTGTAGATTTTCTTCAGATCTGTAGATTGTTCTCTTCATATCTGTAGATTGTTCTTTTCAGATCTGTAGATTGTTCTTTTCAGATCTGTAGATTGTTCTCTTCGGAGCTGTAGATTGTTTTCTTCAGAGCTGTAGATTGTTCTCTTCAGAGCTGTAGATTGTTCTCTTCAGAGCTATAGATTGTTCTCGTCAGATGTGTAGATTTTTCTCTTCAGAGCTGTAGTTTGTTCTCTTCAGGTTTGTAGTTTATTCTTTTCAGAGCTGTGGATTGTTCTCTTTATATCTGTAAATTGTTCTCTTCAGATCTGTAGTTTCTCTTCAGATCAGTAGATTGTTCTATTTTTATCTGTAGATTGTTCTCTTCAGATCTGTAGGTTCTCTTCAGATCTGTAGTTCTGTTCAGAGTTATACATTGTTCTCTTCAGATGTGTAGTTTGTTCTCTTCAGATCAGTAGTTGTTTTTGACCGTAGATGATGATTAGGGAACAAAGCCAGCTGATGTCCTGTCAACATGCTGCAGTTTTCTCCCTTCAGTACATTTATTACAGATTTCTCTGAATTCAGTGTCTGGCACCACTGCTGCTGCTGAGATCTCACAGGTCCGTGTCGTTCTGCTTCACACTTTCGTTCAGTACGAACTCTAACCCGACTCCCTGAACCCACAGCAGGACTTCTAAAGGTTTAACAACCACACAGACAATGACCACAAAGTACTGAAACTCACCTAAATATGCTGAAACGTGACTCTGGTTTTCTGAACTTAAAGAATGTTCAAACACAATGTTTTTTCACGGGTTTGGGCATTTATAGTTTAAATCTAAACGAGGAAACAGAACCACATTTAACCTGAAACAACAGAACATGTAACGCGCCTCAGACAGGATCAGAACAGCCTCACGCCGATGGAAACTGTAGAGTTTCTTATATTTTTGTCACGTGTAGATGTAAACACACGCCTGCGAGGCGCACACACAGAGGAGCATAACATGTGTGAGAACTGTCCAAGGAGCTCCTCCATCCTCTCTGAGAAGAAAACGAGGTCAGGTCAGTAAATTAGTTCAGAACAATCATCTCTGATGACCCCGCAGGTCCACCACGTATCTGTCCATGAAGAGCTGCGTACAGTTGGACGTATCTGTGGGGCAAAGACGGCTGAGGAGCTGCAGGACGACGTCACCAAAAGAAGAACTGAGAGGTGGTGTGTCTTCAGGGACCAAATACTGATGAGGTCTTTCTCAGCCGTCTCTGAGCCGTGTCAGCTGGATGAGATGACTTCATCCATTTGATGCCCTGATATATAAAGTTTCTCCACAACGCCGAGGAAGTACTTTGATTCTCTGCGACTCGTTTCCAACTATATAAAGAAGAAGCTTCTAAGTTCCACGCAGCTCCTGAGTGTCTCTGTGTGCGCAGTAATTATTAAACACGTGTGTAAAGTTGGACATGCCTTCGAAAGGCTCCACCAGCAGATCTGAGTGAGACGTGCAAAAGATCTGTGCTGGATTCATGCACATGCACGATTTCAAACATCTGGATTTATTCGTGCGTACGCTGTTTTCTTGATGTGAGCAGTGTCTAATTTGAGCTGGATCAGGATCCGGGAACACTCTTATTTTGACAGGGTGCGTTCCGGTAACAGTTTGCTTGGATCTGGTAACTCTCAGGCTTACTAATAATAAAGTTATAAACAAACATGAGGCTGACGTGAATGAATACAACTTATATTGGATATGTAAACTCTAAATAGTTACGTAAACACTCATTTTAAACAGCATACGAGCTGCCTCTTCAAGTTGCATTTCCACGTTTACCCTTAAAAAAATCTCTGCACGATAATTAAATATTATCTAATTATTTAAAACATTTTAGTCGTTCCTGTGATCTTAATATCATATTCAAGTCTCTGTAATAGCATATTATAATCAACTGTATCAAATGCATCACTGAGGTCTAACCGGATCAGTGTAGACACCTGTCCTTTGTCAGAGGAGTCTTTGTCATGAGATTAATAAGTGTTGACTGCAGCCATTTCCATTCTCTTGGTAAAATCCACCACCATCTGTCCTTCCTGGTTTCTTTCCTTGACACCAAACGTGCCCATCACTTCCTCTTCTCTGTTTCCTTCACCAACATGTCCATTCAGGTCTGCTCCGATCACCACTCTCTCCTCCGTGGGAATACTCTCTATCACTTCATCCAAATCTTTCCAAAATGTATATTTCTCCTCCCCATTACATCCAACCTGTGGATGACATTTAGCATCAGACCTTCTACTTCTACCTTCAGGCACATCACACTATCTGACACTCTTTTCACCTCTACTACATTTTTTGCCAACTCCTCCTTCAGGACCACCCTACTCCATTTCTCTTTCTATCCACGCCATGGTAAAACAGTTTGAACCCTGCTCCAATGCTGCGAGCCTTGCTGCCCTTCCACTTGGTCTCTTGGAAACATAAAACATCTACCTTCCTTCTCAGCATCATGTCAGCCAGCTCTCTACCTTTGCCTGTCATTGTCCCCACATTAACAGTTACAACCCTGAGTCCTACATTCTTGACTCTCCTCTTCTCTCTCTGTCTCCTGGCATGTTTCCTTCCTCGTGGTCTTTGATTAACAGTAGCACAATTTTCACCGGCACCCTGTTTGTCAACAGCACCGGTGCCGGTCGTTGTTAACCCGAGCCTCGACTGATCCGGTATCACTTTGACAAACTCACATTATAATTTTAGCAAAAGTGTTTTACGTCAGGTTGTCTTCCTGACACAACTCTCACCATTTACCCCGGCTTAGGACCAGGACCAGAACCAGAGAAACACTGGCTGGTGCTCCCTAGTGGCTGGTTTATGATCTGTAAACAATAAATGTAAACATATTGAATTGTTCTGTGTTTAAACTGCTTTAAAATTTGCATTATTCACACACCACCTGCACACACCTGCTGCTGCATCTGGTTCAACTCGTTAAGTTTTTATTAATTTGACTTATCTGGAAGTTTAATGTGTCATTTCTGCAGGCTGGTCTTCATGGATGTAAAGAAACGGGGACCAGATGAAGGCCTGGTGGTTCTGGAACTAAATATAGGATATACATTTTTCATGAGACTGCTAAGAAATCATTGAGAAATGTGTTTACAGGCTTTTCCTCTGATTGCAGGAGAAAAGCAATAATCAGAAGTGTAATGATCAAGGCCCATAATCCCCACGCTTGGTGCTGGCTTCATTAACACTCTGATTTCCCATGAGGCTTTGGGGCGTTTTTTCCCTCCCGTCCTCTTCCCAGCGTTATTTTAAATATTTTATTTTTCACAATGATTTGAATCAGTTGTCAAAAGTGAATATTGCTTTTTGATTGCTCTGGTGTTGCATCTGCACAAGTTTGTCTTAAAGTCAGACGTTCAGGAGATGAAAGAGTTCAGAGCTGACCCCAACAGGAGGCTGCAGGAGGAGGAGAGCTCCTTAAAGCAGTCAGGAGGAGGAGAGCTCCT